AGGAGGGGAGCGAGGAGGAGGAGGAGGAGGAGGCGGAGGCGGAAGCGGAGGCGGAGGAGGAGGAGGAGGAGGAGGAGGAGGAGGAGGAGGAGGAGGAGGAGGAGGAGGAGGAGGAGAGGAGGCGGAAGGAGGAGGAGGAGGAGGAGGAGGAGGGGAGGAGGAGGAGGAGGAGGGGGAGGAGGAGGAGGAGGGGGAGGGGGATGGGGAGGGGGAGGGAGGGGAGGAGGAGGAGGAGGAGGAGGAGGAGGAGGAGGAGGAGGAGGAGGAGGGAGGAGGAGGAGGAGGAGGAGGAGGAGGAGGACGAGGAAGGAGCCCTGCAGGATGCACGTCGCGCTGCAGGTTACAGGTCGTCCAAGGACTCGCGCAGGAGGTCCAACTCGCCTGTCTGGCAGGACCCGAAGCGGAAACCTGACTCCCTCTCCCTCCCCCGTTTCCTCCTTCTCCCTCCTCCCCCATACCCTTCTTTCCCCTCCCCCCATATACCCCCCTTCCTTACCCTACATCCCTTTGCTCCTTCACTCCCTCCTGGGGCTAAGGTTCTGACTTGCTCCCACTTTACCCGAGGATGTGCGCAACACGGCGCGCGAGGTCATGAGTTCAGACTCAGGCAGTATTCACAGGATTTCGTCTGGGAGACGCGACTGTCAGATGAACAACATGCCTTCCCAAGGTTCTAGTCATAGCAGCCTCTGGTGCATCGGTCACGGTTTGTTCTGGCTGCTGGGCCAGCCACTCCATCGATCGGGTGAGGGGCGGTCAACCGAATCTTCGATCATCAGGGTGGTTCGCGCTTTGGTGCCCCGCGCCAGCTGGGTTAGGATCATGATCAGGCGATAGATCAGCCTGGACCTGGATGCGGAGGCGGAGAAGCGAGAAAGGGGAGGGCAATAAGAAAGAGCAGGGTACGGGTGATGAAATTATAAGCATCCTCCTCCGGAGGAGGAGAGAAAGTTTGGGTCGGATTCCGCAGTGTAGACGTCCGATGTCAAACTCAAACGCCTGGACCATGCAGTGCAATCTGGCACACACATGTGCCGATGACATGGCGGACGTGGAGGACGAGGACGAGGAGTTCGAGCGCGAGGACGAGGAGGAGGAGGAGGAAGTGGAGGGGGAGGAGGAGGAGGAGGAGGAGGAGGAGGAGGAGGAGAGGAGGAGGAGAGGAGGAGGAGGAGGAGGAGGAGGAGGAGGAGGGAGGAGGAGGGGGGAGGAGGGGGAGGGGAGGGGAGGAGGAGGAGGAGAGGGGGAGGAGGAGGAGGAGGAGGAGGAGGAGGAGGAGGAGGAGGAGGAGGAGGAGGAGGAGAAGGAAGTGAAGATGAGAAGCGCTCTAAGGCTCCGGCCTCGACTTCTCCACGATCATCCCCACGGACCACAGCGTGGAAGTCTCGCCGCAGGGGTCGCGACGCAAGCGCGGTGCGCCCGTTGCCAGCAGAAAAGCCTCCCTCCCAGGGGGGTCCTCCCAAAAGTGCCAGAGGGTTTCCAACGCGGCTTCTTGGAAACCTTCGGGCCCGTCCGACAGGCCAGCTCGAAGCCCCGGCCCCGTGGCGACCACCCCAACTCAGTGAGAGAACGAGCCTGCACAGGTGGGAGGTGGGGCGGTGAGGAGGGCCCGAAAAACTTAAGCCCAGATGGCTGCAGGCGGCGCGTCTGGGCCCTTCCCCGTTCTCCCCCCCCCCCGAGAGCCCTCCTTCCCTGACCCAGACCCCCAACGTCATGACTTTCCCATGACGTGGATACCTGGAAGTATCTCGGCCCAGTCCCCACGACCGGCTTGCCATTCTGCGTCGTTGTGTGACGGTTGGTCCCGAGGCCCAGTCGCGGCCCCCAGATGCAGAACCCAGCGCGAAATCCTCGGTCGTGATTTTTTCCATGAGACCCGAGAGGGTCAGGGGGAAAGGGCCTCCCTCCTCTCTTCTCGGGGAGGAGGGTGCCTCCGAGAGGCCCCCTTCCTCCCCTTCTTCTTCTTCTTCTTCTTCCGCCTCCTCTTCCTCCTCCTCCTCGTCCTCCTCGTCCTCCTCCTCTTCCTCCTCCTCCTCTTCCTCAATTTGTTTTCCTGATCAATCGTTCTTTCCTGTCGCGCCCCGAGGCCAGTCGGAAGGGCGGGCCAGGCGTTTCGCCTGAGAATTCCTCCTTACCTCTGATCCTGAAGCTCAGAAATTGGCAGCGCTGTCGCTGAAGGAGGGCGGGCGGCTTCCAACATGCGCTTTCCGCTTAAGCGCCGCGCGCATTCGGTTTTCAGGTTGTAAGCGTGTTGCGGATTGAGGACGGGTTGTTTTCAACATGTGGTTCTCGCCTTCGCGCAGCGCGCATTCGTCTCAAACATTTCCAAGAGTTTCACGGATTGAGGGCGGGCCGTTTTCAAAGTGTGGTTGTTGTCTTAGCGCCACGCACATTTGTCCCACATAATTGCAAGAGTCTCACGGATTGAGGTCGGGTGGTTTTCAACATGTGGTTCGGGCTTTAGCGCCGCGCATCTTCGTCTCAAACACTTCAAGAGTTTCACGGGTTGAGAGCGGGCATGCGGCTCTCGGCTTACCGCCTCGTGCAGTCATTCGCCTTTATACTTTCCAAGAGCTTCACGGACTCTCATGGTTGACTACCAGACATTGTGTTTTGGAGCGGCTCAGGACTGTCAAGGCACAACAATTATGTTGACTCGCGGTGTTGAAATCCCAGGATTGGTGTTCTGGCGCGATTTGGGTTCGTCAAAACGCAACAACCAACTTGATTCGGTGTTTTGGCACATGTCAGGATCTTCCAACGGCTCTCTCCCAACATGGCATTTCCCCGAGTGGAAGGGGGCCCTTGCAGGGGCCTGTGAAACATGAGCTTGGAGGCAGGGTTTACTCCAACATCGTTGGTGAGTCTTCAGTTTTCAGTGCTTCTCCTCCTCCTCCTCCTCCTCCTCCTCCTCCTTCTCCTCCTCCTCCTCCTCCTCCTCCTCCTCCTCCCCCTACTTCCCCTCTCCTCTTCCTCCCCTTCCTCCTTCTCTTCCTCCTCTTCCTTCTCCTCCTCCTCCTCCTCCTCCTCCTCCTCCTCCTCCCTCCTCCTCCTCCTCCTCCTCCTCCTCCTCCTCCCTGGCCCCTGCCCCTCATTCCCGATTCGAGGGACCGAGCTGCACTTGGCCCCCCCGGAGAGACGGCCGCCCCACATCGCGGCCGCGACGACGACGCCGCCCTCTCGTGCGCGCCGCCGAACCCCCCGAGGCGGGAGCCGGGCGCACACCCTGCAGGGGCTGCCCTCCGACGGCCCCGGGGCGCGGAGGAACAGCTTCGGCACCGCGAGCAACGACAGCGCCGAGCTGCTCGCGACGGGTGCCGCCGCCGCCGCCGCCGCCGCCGCCGCCGCCGCCGCCGCCGTCGTCGTCGTCGTCGTCGTCGTCGTCGTCGTCGTCGTCGTCGTCGTCGTCGTCGTCGTCGTCGTCGTCGTCGTCGTCGTCGTCTTCGTCGTCGTCGTCGTCGTCGTCGTCGCGAGCACCGACAGAGCCGAGCTGCTCGCGACGGGCGCCGCCGACGGGCGTCCAAACGCACAAGCTGCGAACACAGTCGGTGACTGCGATCCAGGTTCGAGGCTCCGATGTTATCGGGCGTTTTTTTTTCGGTTCTCGTCGACTAACTCGGTCTCGAGATGCCTCTCAGCGGCTGCGCTTCGCCGAGGGCGTTCGGGGGCGCCCGTGTCGGCCCGAGCGGCCGCCTGAGAGCGGGGAGGGGCACAGGGCACAGGGAGGGGCACAGAGTGGGCGGATTCAGTTGAACGCCCCTGCGGGGGCAGACACCGCCGCCCCACTTTGTTTGGAACGCGGAGTCAGAGGTTGGGTGGGTAGCGAAAGCGGATCAGGCATATAGAACGCCCGGGCCAAGCCTACCCCTAGGTTTACCTTAGGCCTACCCTACGGCCTACCCCTAGGCCTACCCTAGGCCTACCATAGGACCTACCCCCTTACCCTAGCGTAGGCCTTCCCCAGGGCCTGCTGCTAAGCCTAGTCCTAAAGGCCGACCCGCGGGGCTCACCCCAACGCCTGCTCCCAGGTCGACTCCTCGGGCCTAAGCCTGGTTTACTTTCGGGGCCCACTTTCGGCTTACCCCAGGGCCTATTCCTCGGCCTACGCCAGGCGTTGCCCCAGGGCTACCTCCAGGGATGCCCTGGCCCTTGCCTCTCTAGCCCGCGGGCTGCCCGAGGGCTCATCCCTGGCCCCACCCTGGGCCCTTCCCCTGCGCCTGGGCTTTGCCAGGGCCCGATCCCGCTCTCCGACCCGACCCGCTCGCCAACGCGTTTCCGATCCGGCGTCGCCGCCTTCCGTCTGCCGATCCGATTCCGCTGGAGAGAGAAAGGAAGCAGGGAATCAGGAAGGAGGGAGGGTGGCGGGTGGGGGAGGGAGGGGGGGCGTGGAGACGAGGGCGGGGATGCGGGGGGGGGGTGCAGAGGGGGGGTCTACGTAAGAGGGGTTCTAGAGAGCTCGGGTCCAGAGAGATTCTAGGGAGGGGGGTCTACAGAGGGGGGGTCTAGAGAGAGGGGTTTAGTAAGGGGGGGATTTACAGCTGGGGGGTCTAGAAAGGGCGGGTCCACAGAGGGTGGTCTACAGAGGGGAGGGCTAGAAAGGGGGGGTGTACAGAGGGGGGTCTACAGAGGATGTGTTTGGAGAGGGGCGGTCTTGAGAGGGGGGGACCTAGAGAGGGGGGGTTCGAGAGCGGAGGCCTACGTAAGGGATCCAGGCGCAGAGAGGGGGGTCTAGAGAAGTGGGATGTAGAAGGGGGGGGCGGTTCAACAGAGGGGGGGTTTACACGGGAGTGGTCTAGAGAGGGGGGTCTAGAGATGGGGGGTCTAGAAAAAAGAGGTTTACAGAGGGAGTTCACAGAAGGGGAAGTTTAGAGATGGGGGAGTTTACATGAGGGTGGGGGGTGCAGAGGAAGGGTCTAGAGAGGAGGGGTCCAGAGAGAGAGGGGTTACAGAGGGGGGGGTTACAAAGGATGGGTTCAGAGCTGGGGGGGGGGTACAGAGCTGGTTACAGAGGGGGGGTCTAGAGAGAGGGGTTTTGACAGGAGGGGTTTACAGGGTGGGGGTGTCGAGAAGTGGGGGTTGCCGAGGGGGTTCACAGAAGGGGTGGTTTAGATGAAGGGGGGTTACAGAAGGGGGGTTTTATATAGGGAGGGGTCTAGAGGAGGGGGGCTCTGCAGAGAGGGGTCCAGAGAGGGGGGTGCAGGGGGGGGGGTAGCGAGAGTGGGGGTCATGGGCGGGGGGGTCCATGGAAGTGGGGTCAAGAGGGAAGGAGTCTAAATCGGGGGTAGGTCTACAGAAGGGTGGTCTTGAGAGGGGGGGGGGGGGGGTCTGGAGAGGCCGGGTTTGGACAGGGGGTTCACAGAGGGGCGTTTACAGAGGCGGGGTCCACATGAGGGCAGGGTTTACAAGGGGGGGGGGGCGGATGCGGTGGTTTACAAAAGGGTGTCTACATAAGGGGTCTACAGAGGTGTTTATGATGGGCGTGCATACAGAAGGGGCGTTTACAGAGAGCGGGTGGTTTACAGAGGGGGAGTTCACAGACGGGAGGGTTAGAGAGGGGTGTTCTAGACAGGGGTGGTTTACAGGGGGGGATGGGGCCGAACGATGGGGGAAGTTAGAGAGCGGGGTGCCCGCGTGGCAGGGGGGTTACAGGGGGGTCTACAGAGGGGAGGTTTACAGGAAGTGGTTTTATTTATTTTTAGAGAGAGAGAGAGAGAGAGAGAGAGAGAGAGAGAGAGAGAGAGAAAAAAAGAGAGAGAGAGAGAGAGCCCCGTTCTGCGAAACCTTTCTTCTCAGAGAGAGCGAGAGAGCATCGCGGCCACTGGTCGTCGAGAGACGAGGTGTCGTGCGAGAGGGCTATGAGCGCACCGTGGGCCCTTCGCACCCCAGGAGGCCTGGTACAAAACGGCAGCGAGGCGCGAGCAGAGGATGCACATGAACAGGATGGGAAAGAGAGGGAGATGATCTCAAGGGTGGGTCGGAAATGAGAGAGAGAAAGAGAGAGAGAGAGAGAGAGAGAGAGAGATCCCCAAAGTCTAAATCCCGCGTGGGCCCACGGCCTGCGCGAGGTAGCAGCTGTCGTGGATGATGTTGCTCAACGTCATCGGCGGAGAAGGTGGAGGGGGGAAGCGGGAGGCCCATCACTTCCCGCGGTGCCACACGTGGTACTCGCACCCACGGGTGGACGGGGACCTCAAGCCACTAGGCAGTGTCAAACCGGCAGGATTCAAAGAGGTGGGAGGGCGGCCACGACTGGGAGCAACAGGAAGGGCAGGGGGCGGTGTGAGCGCACTGGTCAGCCATCCAACGACAGCACAGGTCGGACACACAAGCCTGACCAGTCGGGCATCCTAGGTGGGAGGGGAAGGGAACGGAGCGGACGGACTGACAGCTGGGCGCACTCTGGGCTCAGGCAGTCTGGGCTCCCAGGTCAGTTGGACCCACAAGGTGGAGGGGAGGGGGAAAAAAAGGGAGGTACTTTGGACATCGAGAGGGGGAGGGAGGGGGGCGGGGGAGACATCTGGGAGGCCATAAATGTCAACGCTAGTCTACAAGCTGGGCCTCGTAGGCTGACGAATCACGGATGGTCCTCTTCATCTGTTTTCGCCCCAGGGGGAAATAGGTGAGGCAGGAGAGGCTCGGAGGAAAACCCTGCAGGCATCCGACAACAATTGGGATGGATGCGCCCATCGCACCTGACACCATGTGCTGCGCGGCAGCCTTCTCACGACTGTCGGCCAGGGTGAACGGGGGCTGGAAAGAGTTGAGCAACTCCTGGACATAGGACACCTCACGGGTATGCGTCCAGTTGAGAGTCACATATGCTTTCAGCACCTGAGATACCCGCCAATCATCCACTGGAAACGTGATCCATACTATGATCGCAAGCATGAAGCCTGCGATGAACGAACCAAGAAACTGCTGCATAGAGAAGCCTCCTTCGCACGACTCGTCATCGTACATGTCTTGCGGCAGCTCACAACTCAGATCAGCATACATCTTCCTCGAATCGACTCAGAGTGCTGACCCGTCTATGATGTGCAGTACTTGCGAGATGCGCTTCTCCTTGGAGCTTGGAACTGCCTTGCGGGGGAAGTGCGACTTGATGCGCTTGCTGACCTGGCCGGCCACCGCCTTGTCACTCATGGCTTCCTCGAGTTTGGCTGCAGCTTGGCCCCAAGTGAGCTTCGACGGGAGCATCCTCTTCTTGCCAATGATCGACTGGAGCCAGCCAACCTCCGCCCTGCTCATGATGTCCTGGGAATCGGGCGGGCCAGCCACTGGTGTCGGCGAGCAGCCACGACCTGCCTCCTCGGTCTCCTTCGTCTCCTTCGTCTCCTTCGTCTCCTTCTGAGCCTCAAGCTTGGAGAGACGGTCGCCGAAGGCCGACTTCATCGCTGCCGCCATGTACTCGCCCTGACGCCTCAACTGCATCTCCTCGGCCCTGTCCTTCTTGTCTTTGATGAATGCGCTGTGCTCTGGATCTCGTTCGGCTAGAGCCTCTCGCATCTTCTGGAGCTCCTTCTCCCTCTCCGGCGGTGAGTGGGAGCGGCCGAGTCCTCCAGCACGACGGGCGCGATCACGACCACGGTCATCCCGTCCATCTCCACGGCGGTCTGGAGAACGACGGCGGTCCCGATCACGGTCGCGGTCTCGATCGCGGTCGGAGCTGTCACCGCGGCGATCCCAATCACGGCGGTCATGCCCACTGTCCCGATCTCCTTCACGACGTGACCACTGGCCTTTCTCAGAGTACCAGTCGAACCGACCGCCGTCCCGACGATCTCGATCAGCATCGTAGCGTCGCCAAGGCTGGCGGCGCTCACCACCGCGACCGTCGCCGCCCATGTCTTGGACAGGGAGGAAGAACTTGTGCCACTGACGAGTTATTGCTCGAGCCTTCTGGATAGCCACGGACCAGGGGCAACAGTGCAGGGCTGCTTTGATGAGGCCCGCGGGGTACCCCAGGAGGATGAGCTCCAGGGTCAACTCCAGGATCCAGGCCAGCGTAACGGGGATAGTCAGGGACAGGTGTTGGGCACGGGCCAGGCGTCCAGAGGAGAGAGCAACAACCATCCCGAAGTCCCTGGGTGTCGTGCCTGGCCAAGGGAGGATGTTAGATTTTGGGCGAGGTCCAGGATCGTGAGCAATGAGCCAGAGCCTGTTGTCGTTCTTGGGGGCAGTCCAGCAGGAATCCTGTCGAGGCCACAATTCCAAGTCCAGCCATTCGCAGGGGGCCTCGGGGTCCTCAAGGTCTGACGCGGGAGACAGCTTCACCTTATACACCAGCGTGAGGTAGTCAAACACACAGTTTCGGCAATATGATCTGCTAACTCCTAGAATGTCATCCACATAACGACGTTGACGAACTTCGATAGAAAACGATGATGCCGATAACGTAAAACCCGACTTCACGAACTGCTCAGGCCTACGTTGGGCCCGTATCTCATACCACGCCAAAAGTATCGAAATAGCCACGCCAGAGAGAACACCACTTATCGGGAGGCCTCGGAGTTCATATACTATGCCACCAATCGTGACGAGCGAGAGCCAGCAGTAGGCGAGGGGGGTTCGACCAATGTCCGAGGTCGAGATCTTAAAATACGTTGGAGGTGTGCCTGATGTAAACGTGCGCGTTTTTACTTCCTTTCCTCGTTTAACGAGAGCTGCGTCGGTGCCGAGCTGGTGGACTACTGCGGCGGAGACGTCCCGCCACGCTTCGGCAATGAGGCTTGCTCCGCACTGCCCATACGCCTGATCAGCATCCGCGACGACGATGGCCACATTTTTGAGCACACAGTTGCACCTGAGACAAGTGTCGTTCGCAGGTGGCTCCAGTTCGGAAACGATTGCACGAACCTCGCGTGCCGCGTGGTTCATATTAAACACCTCTGACGAGAGTCCACTTGCCTGCAGCAGGTGGCGAGAGGCCCGTCCAATATATCTGAAACCTTCCGCCCCAGGAGCATCAGCCGAATTCACGATCCTGCGCATGCAACTATGCCCGGGCTTCGAACAACATCTAGCACCATCACCCTGGAAACATTTACTCTTTACCGTCGGGAAAACATACAGGGGATTCGTCTTCTGGGAAGGTCTAGGCATCAAGTTTCCTTTCCGTAGCCAGGTAGGTAAACCTTGATAAGCACAAGTCCAAAGCCAAACAGCCGCATCATATCTAGATACATCATACCTAACAGTCCAATCATCATCTAATTCGGCAGTCTGGTGGAGCCAACGAACAACATCGGGACCATCAGCCATCCAGGCTTTATCCCCTTGCTTGTCATCGGCAATGATAATCTTGCCGTCCGCTTGGGTCACCGAACTCTGTAGGGTCGATTCCAGATCTTGCCATTTAGCCGGTGGGGGCCCTCTTGGGTCCTTGTGGGAGTCTGCTGTGGCTGAGAACCTTTTCGTGATATAGTCGAGGCCTTTGCGGATCTGACGGGGGCCTAGACGTGCCGCTTGTGTCCACTCAAGTAGGGCCGCCTTCGCGGCTCTTGCAGAAACTCTGGGGGCTTGCCAGACTGGTAAACGCCAACAGCCAGGAAAAGCACGAAGACAGAGAGGACCTGATATGAACTGTGAGTCGGAAACAGGGGTGGGGAGGCACTCTGACTTGTACTCAGCGCAGAACCTGCTAGCAGACACTTTATCCTTTCAGATCCGCTGGTCCTGGAACGCGACCCGAGTGGGTCTCTGGTACCATTGTCTGGCTGGGTAAAACTTCATGCTGTTGATCATGTGTGTGATCGCACCTCGAGCAATGTATTGGTATTCACACATCTTAAATTCATGCGGTAGGCGGATCACTTGGCACGTTGCCGCTGGTAGATGCAGCGTGCGGATGTGTCGATTGATGTGAAACCGAGCCATGCGTTGCCTTGTAAACTCATGAAGAAAGAGATGACACAAGCTGGCTGCCTTGAAATATATAGCACCTTGCTCCACGCGTGAAATATATCTGCAGAAAGGGAGGGGTTTCCATTTCCCAGATAAGTAAGATAAGAGTAGTCCCAGGCGGGGTGGGTCCAGCAGCCATAGTGGACCTTCCTGCTGGGTGAGGTGAAAATGCTCACGGATCTGTAAAACGTACAGTTCGCAATACGGCGCAGATTCTGATAGTGCACTTGGAAACTGGGCAAGAGGGCCTCGAACCTGAACTACTGGTATTTCTGATACAGCAGGGGTCGCTGATAACCAGGCGGGTGGGGGGATCCTTCGGGGAGGTCGTCGTCTCCAGGATAGTGGGCGTCTACGGGTCTTCTTCTTCTTGGGGGCTGAGTAGAGGGTCCCAAGGCCTCGTCTTTGACTCATAAACTCCGTTTCTCGTTGGTCCGCTCGATTACCACTCGGCCTAAACCGTCGGATCGCCATGGCCTCGAAGAGAAAGCTCGCGGCCTCCGTGGGGGCCCAAAGGAACGGGACGACGAATGAGGATCCAGGGCTTTTTCGAAGTTCTCGATATCGAGGGCGATTACCTGGTCGAACTCTAGGGAACATCAGGCCTCTCATGTGCTCCTGGATGCGCCCCAGGACTCCCGAGAGAACACCTGACCTCAGTATCGCCTTGCCTACGTAGACGGAGGAGTGCGAGCCTAGGATGTAGACAATGGCCTTGTGGGGGTCCGTCGGAAGGCCCAGCGTGCTCTTGAAGGCGAGTACTGCCACGGGCTCAGACCAGTCCTGGATACCTCGAAGCCGCTCTGGAGGCAGGAGACGGAGTACTCGTCTAGCCCATCTCGATGGGGAAGCGGATCTAAGTTCGAACTGCAATCGCACCGAGCCTGACATCAACAGTACCACGCCCACAGTACTCCAGAACGCAGGGCCTCTAAAGGCCCTAGTCCCTGACGGTTGAGAGCCTATTAACTCGGTCAAGAATGCGAAAACGGACGTGATATATGCACGAACGTGTCGGTGGGAACGACGTGTCCATAGCCAGGAACGAATTTCTCCTCCAACCTCACCTTGAGATAGTCCTGAATTCTTGCGAAGAGTATGCATGAGAAACGCTCGTGCCTGTCCGTGGGCGCGAGGCTGGTCATGCGGAAGGGGAATCAGGAGTCTGTTGAGCTCCATGTCCTCCGTCTCGTCGTCCTCCACGGATCCCATCTCGAGGTGTGGATCCAACCTGCACTGCGATGACTTTCCATGCGGCTGCTGGTGTCGTCCTCCGACTCCGCTGTGCGTCCTGCAAGCTCTCTGATGCTTGCCGCTGATAGAATCCATCTCTCCGTCTGAGCATCTCGGGCTCGAAGTTCTGCTTGGAATCTCCGCCGAGCCATCTCCATGTCCCAGAGCGGGGGTCCGAATACTTGGTAGTAGGAGACCGATGTCTGAGACACAGCCTGAAGCCATCGTTCTGGTCGATGGTGGAAACTCTTTACGAGGGTGTAAATCTCGTATACACTGATTACTGTCAAGAACGTCAGGGGCATCTCGGGGAGGAGATTGGGAAGGGAAGCTGCTGCGCCTCGGGACGGTATGAGCGCGATCCAGGAACTGGTGCGTGATCCTTGCGCCTCCGTTGCTCGGGAGATCCAAGCCGGCTAGACACAAGCTGAGAGAGAGTCCCGTTCTGCGAAACCTTTCTTCTCAGAGAGAGAGCGAGAGAGCATCGCGGCCACTGGTCGTCGAGAGACGAGGTGTCGTGCGAGAGGGCTATGAGCACACCGTGGGCCCTTCGCACCCCAGGAGGCCTGGTACAAAACGGCAGCGAGGCGCGAGCAGAGGATGCACATGAACAGGATGGGAAAGAGAGGGAGATGATCTCAAGGGTGGGTCGGAAATGAGAGAGAGAAAGAGAGAGAGAGAGAGAGAGAAAGGGGGTCTAGATAAGGGGTGGTTGAGAGAGGGGGTGTTTACAGAAGGGAGGTCTACGGAGGAGGTGTGTTTCGACGCGTGGAAAGGGGGGGGGGGCAGAGAGGGGGGGGGGCACAGAGGGGGGGGGTCTAGGCAGCGGGTGTCTACAGAGGGCGTGTTACAGATGGTGGGATCGAGAGAGCGGGGGTCTACAAAAGGAGGTCTGGAGAAGTGGGATGCAGAGGGGGGGGGCGGATCGCGAGAGGGGGGTCTTGAGATGGGGGGTCTACAGAGGGGGGACTTCTAGAGAGGGGGGTGTCTGCGGGGGGGGGGGGGGAGTGGGGGAGGTGATCCAGAGAGGGGGCTCAATAGGGGGGGTAGAGGGTCTACAGGCGGGGAGGTGTAGAGAGCGGGTGTCTACAGAGGAGTGTCTAGACAGGGGTGTAGAGAGGGGGGGTCGCGGGAGGGGTGTGTGTGGAGAGGAGGGGGTCTACAGAGGGGGGTCTAGAGAGGGGGTCCACAGGGGGGGGGGAGGGCGGGGGTCACAGAAGGGTGGAGTTTAAAGGAGGGTGGTCTATAGACGGTGGGGTCTAGAAAGGGGGGGTCTACAGAGAGGGTGTTTAGATAATGGGGGTTTACAAGGGGGGGGGGTCTATATCAAGGTGGTTTACAGAGTGGGTGTTTACAGAGGGGGGTGTATACAGTGAAAGGTCCACGGAGGTGGGTTTACAGAGGGGTCTGCGGAGGGGGGGGTAGAGGTCTACAGAGGGGTGGTCTGGAGAGGGGGGTCTTCATAGGGGTGGTCTAGAGAGGGGGGTGGGTGCAGGATGAGGGGCGAAAGGTGGGGGGTCCTAGAGAGCGGGGGGGGTACAGACTGTGGCTCTGACCCGACTGTGCCTGTGTGCAGGGATTCTCCTCCTCGTCTTCCTTCCCCGGTCCCCCTCCCTCCCTGCCGGCTCCGAGGTTCACTGTGCCTTTCGCGGTCGATTGGCTCTCGCGGCAGCAGCAAGGAGCTGGAGGGTGAGCGCTTCCACCTGCGGGACGTTTGGAGGCAGGGGTGGAAGGAAAGCGTGCATCCCACCGAGCCTCGACAGGCACTCTGGGGGGGGGCCAGGCCCTGATTGATCTGACTCCCTGCCTGCCGCTAGGCCGACATCCGCCCGGCGCGTGGGCCCAGCGAGGAGAAGCCAGGGGGGGCTTCGTGGCCCCAGACATCTGGCCCCTCCAACTTTTTCGATGCATGGGTCCCGGAGCTCCAGACCACTTCCCTGGGGCAGAATCTTCGTCCCGAGGAGTTTTGTTGACGCTCCCGAGGCCTGGCGAGGGCCCCCAGAGGCCGAAAACTGCCCCAAATCCCGCCGCTCGCATTTTTTGGGGGAGCGTCAGATCTCTCGGGGTGTTTGCTGGGAGTTCTGCCGCCTCCCCGGGCCTGGCCCCAGGAGGTTCCCCGCAGGTCCCGCAGCGCTCCCCCGGGGGCCTCCCGAGGCCCGACGGAGGCCCGGCACATCCGAGGGCCTCCCGCCCTGGGCCCTCGGGGCGGGCAATGTTTATGTCCACATCCAGTGCGTCTTGGAGTTTATCCTGTGCGCCTCGGCCTCGCGGCGCCCCTTCCGAGAAAGTCCAAGTCGCACTGGATATGGATAGAAGTATTGCCCGCGCTGGAGGCTCGAGGGCAAAAACTTGGCCCCGCGGTGGTGGATGCCTTTCCTCCTCCGACGGAGGGAGAGCTCGAACGTGCTGCTCACGTCCACGAAGAACTGGCGCAGCGTCCCCAGCCCACAGACCATCCCAGAGGGGGGGCAAGGGCCAGCATTTTGTTCACGGGCAGGGTGCTGCCGAAGGTGCCACACGGAGTTCCAGGGAGGCCCCCACGAACTCCAGGGCACCCTTGTCGAAGCCCAGAGGGCTCCAGGGGCCCCGAAGTGGAGCGAAGAGCCTGGGGCTCCTCGGGCCTGGGCACCTTCTGGCAACACACGAATAGTCGCGCCTGCGCGTCAGACGCTGTGGGGGCTCAGGTAGCAGGAGTCACGGAACGAGCGGGCTGGAACTCCAGGACACGCGACTCCGTCTCGGTGCGGCTACCCGCCGCTGTGCGAAGCTCAGGGCCTCTTGGAGGCTTCTGGGGCCGTCTTAAGGCCGTCTTGGGCCGTCTTGGGGCCGTATTGGGCCGTCTTGGAGGCATCTTGGGGGAATTCGAAGGCGTCTTGGTCTTGAGCCGTCTTGGAGGCCATCTTGGACCGTCTTGGGCCGATTCGCAGGCAACCCTGGGCCATCTTGGCCGTCTTGCAGGACATCTTGGGGCCATTTTGGGCGAGAAAGCCGTTGGGATACCGATTTGGGGCCGCAAGCTTGGTGAGCCTAAGGCCACTGGGAACCTTTCGGATTGGCTACGAAGTCTACCCGAAAGCTCTGCACCTCAACCACCACTTTGCAACCGGAAAGGGTTGGCGGATCTAGCGGCCTTCGGCCCATCCCACCACCAGCCCAAGCCATGGACAAGAGGTCTCTCAGTTATCATTTGGGGTTTCTTGAGGGGCCTCGCCTTGGGGGCCTCTTGAAGGCCTCTAGGAGTCCTCTTGAAGGCCTGTTGGGGGTTACTCGGGAGCCGCCGTCTGCGACGCTCGCAAAACCGCGAAGCCGAGAATGCTGGAGCCGTACCAGACCCTACGGCGTTTCAGTGATTTTGGTTCCCTGGACTGCCTGCTTGTTCCTGCACTTCTGCTTGTGCATGCACTTGTACGCCTTCGTATGCACGATGTTCCAGCCTTGCATCGTCGTCAGCAACAGGTCATAAACTACTGTTACGGTTCTTGTCCTGGTGGTCACTACTGCTAGGGCTCTTTGCATGGCGTCTGGAGCAGGGACTGGGAAATCACGCCGTCGCTTCCTCCCCTCCTTCCCATCGCCGTCGGGGGGGAAGATCGACGGTGCAGGAGCGGAGCAAAGCTCGGCAGATGCAGAGGCAGAGAGAGAGAGAGAGACAGAGAGAGAGAGAGAGACAGAGAGAGAGAAGACATAAAGAGAGAGAGAGAGAGATGCAGAGAGAGAGAGAGAGGGAGAAAACATTAAGAGAAATAGAGAGAGAGAGAAATGGACCAGAGCTGGCCTGTGCCTCCCCCGGGGCGTCGAGCACAAGCAGCACCACTTTGGCCTCAAGCTGTCCCGCGGCCTGGGCCTGCGCCTGCTGCACCCAGCGCCCGGGGCCTACGGGGTGCCCGCGCTCGATCGTGCTTCTGCGCGCTCCTTCCTCCTCTTACTCCCCCCTCCTCCTCCCCCTCCTCCCTCCTCCTCCCCCTCCTCCTCCCCCTCCTCCTCCCTCCCCCCTCCTCCTCCCCTCCTCCTCCTCCTCCCTCCTCCTCCTCCTCCTCCTCCTCCTCCTCCTCCTCCTCCTCCTCCTCCCTCCTCTCCTCCTCCTCCTTCTCCTCCCCCTCCTCCTCCCCCCTATCTCTCCTCCTCCTCCTCCTCCTCCTCCTCCTCCTCCTCCTCCCCTCCTCCTCTCTCCTCCTCCTCCTCCTCCTCCTCCTCCTCCTCCCCCCTCCTCCTCCTCTTCCCAGGGGTCATTTCGATTCCGCCGGTTCGATTCGAATCGATTTCCGCGATTCCGATTTCGAACCGACTCGATTCCGGGGTTCCGATTCGCGATTCCGATTTCGAGTTCGCCCGATCCGGCTTCTGCCGATTCGATGTGTCAGCCGATTGCTGCCGGCTTTTGCCGATCCGGCTTCGCTCCGGCTTTGGCCCCCAAGGGGAGGAGGAGGAGGAGGGAGGAGGACCGCCCAGGGGGGAGTCCAAAAACCCCCAAACCCTAGGGGGGTTTCCCCCCCCCCCTCCCCCCACCAGGGGGGGGTCAAAAACCCAAACCCCCCCAGGGGGTTCCAAAAACCCAAACCCCCACCAGGGGGGGGGTCTAAAAACCCAACCCCCCCCAGGGGGGGGTCCAACCCCCCCCCCCGGGGGGGGTTCCAAAAACCCAACCCCTCCCCCAGGGGGGGTTCCACCCCCCCCCCCCCCAGGAGGGGGTCCAAAAACCCAAACCCCCCACCAGGGAGGGGTTACGATTTCGATTCCGATCCGGCTTGACACGGTCCGGTTTTCCGACTCGATCCGACCTCGGACTTGCCGACTTCAGCCGATTTCGATTTGGCTGGCCGGCTTGCAATTCTGCCCGATGCGATGCTCCGTCCCTCCTCTCCTCCTCCTCTCCTCCTCCTCCTCCTCCTCCGCCCTCCTCCTCTTCCTCCTCCTCCACCTCCTCCTCCTCCTCCTCCTCCTCCCGCCCCCTCCTCCTCCTCCTCCTTCCTCCTCCTCTCCTCCTCCTCCTCCTCCCCTCCTCCTCTCTCGCTCCTCCTCCTCCTCCTCCTCCCCTCCGCCTCCTCCTCATCCTCCTCCTCCTCCTCCTCTCCTCCTCCTACTCCTCTCCTCCCTCCTCCCTCCTCCTCCCCCCCCCCTCCACCTACCTCCTCCTCCCTCCGCCTGCACCTCCTCCCCTCCTCTCTCCTCCTCCTCCTCCTCCTCCTCCTCATCCTCCTCCTCCTCCTCCTCCTCCTCCTCTCCTCCTCCTCCTCCCCCTCCTCTTCCCCTCCTCCTCATCCTCCTCCCCCCCTCCTCCACCTCCTCCTCCTCCTCCTCCTCCAACTCTCCTCATCCTCCTCCTCCTTCCGTAGCTATTTTGGCTCAAGGCTCAGGGGTCGCGCCAGGCCCAAGCCCACCGCTCGTCTACTGCATAATCCGTAGACGCGCACCCCTTGTTGCCGCCTGGGTGATGGCAGCGCGCGGCTACAGAGCAGTGGCGGACGGGCGCGTGGTTGCACTCCAAGAGCACGAGGTTGCCACGAAGCCGGTCGCCTTCGGGATCACATCGTTCAGTGAGCTTTGGAGCAGCATTGGGGCCTGCTGGGATTCCGCTGACATCGCAGGATCCGTGTTCTTCGATTACTACTGGCAGGACTTAGACGCAGCCGTGGAGAGGCATCTGATGGGTTTCGACGGCGACAAGGGTGGGACCCCGAGCGCGGCTGTGGAGCCAGAGATGGTCGGGCGCGCATCGCAGGAATCGCATTCACCGAGGAGTGATTCAGGTTATTCTGGATCGTCTTCCGAGCAAAGTGTGGATATCCCATTTTGAGCGCATGTAGAATTTACTGCACAACGCTTGCTCCTCCTCCTCCTCCTCCTCCTCCTCCTCCTCGCCCAGGGGGCAGATCACACATCGTTGCAGGTCACCCTGAAGTATCTGGAAGCCCTGCCGCAGGGCCGCCGCATGGCCGAGAGCATGGTCACGATTGCCGCTGGAGGAGCATGGCCGAGGGAGCGACGTGCAGCGATGGCCTCCCAGGTGCATATCTCCCCTCAGTGTGCTCGGTGCAATGCTGCGGCGGAGACCCCTCTGCACCGAAGTTGGACGTGCCCTATGAATAGGGAGGCGGAGGCATACACGCAGTCCGATGATTTGCTGCCGCAAGCCGTTGCCCAGCACGAGATGGATGCGGCGTGCTGGCTTCGAGGGGTTATCCCGCGCGAATGGACGTGGGTGCCACCCCCTGCTGAGGAGGAGAACTGTGCTGTCTGGGGTTCGGTTGCCAGCAGGAGCGACGGCGCCTTGGAGGGGATCTTGGGACCTGGATCCGCATCCTCTCCTGTGGTGCTGTTCGGTGATGCTAGTGGGGGCCCTGACTCTCGGGAGTCTCGGCTGAGACGCGTGGGGTGCGGGCTTGTGCAGGTCCACTCAGAGGCCATCCTGGAGGTGCAATCCGTGGTGATGGGACCCCTGGTGGGCCGCAGCCAGTCTGTCCCGCGTGGTGAGCTACGTATGTTGTTGCTTGCTCTGGAGATCACTCTTGACCATGCTGTATATGTCACGGACAATCTCAATGTGTGTTCGGGCTGGTGAGTCCCCAGCTAATGGGGAACTTGGAGATCTGTGGGCTCAGGTTGGAGCCAAACTGCTGAGACGTGACCCCAGTCATTTTGTTGTACTCTTCGTGAATTCTCACCAGACTGGGGAGGAGCTCGTTGTGGCAGGAACTCCCAGTTGGCTGGTGCAAGGCAATGCGATGGCGGATGTTGTTGCGGGCGAGGCAGCGGCCCAGGCGAGGGTCAGCGTCGCTGATCGGGGCCGCCTGGCTCGAGTCGAGCACCAGGCCTTCCGCGTGAGGATGCGCCTCCTGAGAGCGCACCTGGACGCGATCAAGGCCGAGGAGGAGCTGACCAGGCAGGCGAGGCGTGCCCAGGGGGAGAGGAGTGTTGTTGTGAATGAAGGAGCGGGCGTGTCTCCCTCCCCTCCTCCTCCTCCCCCCCCTCCCCCGCCCCCCCGGCCTGCCCCCATTCGGAGGCCCGGGGCCTCTGCGGTGGCCGCCCTGGGCAGTCCCCATGCGTGAGACGATTCCGGCAGGAAATGTGCCAGATGCAGGGGCTCCTCGTCCGTAGGTGAGTTCAATAAGTGGCTGAAGCCACCGTGCTATGAATTAGTCCTGGTGGATGATTCCCTCCGTGCGTTGCCCCTTGGTCGTGAGTTGCACATCGCGGGGGGTGTAGCATGGAGTAGTCACGATCTTCGGTTTCACGTTGACGTGCTTGTGTGGTTCTGTTGTGCATGTGACATGTTTTGTGATCAGCAGCTGGTTGGGCTGGGGAAGCTTTGTACGCGTAACCCCACCCCGATCCAGATCACGTATCTCGATCGACTCAGGCAGGGGTTGTGGCCGAAGGCCTACAGCAAAACCGAGCAGGTCAAGAGAGCACAGAAGGGGCTCCGACTTTAGGGTTGTTTTGGACGTCGTCCTGGGACTTACTCACTCACTCACTCACTCACTCACTCACTCACTCACTCACTCACTCACTCACTCACTCACTCACTCACTCACTCACTCACTCACTCACTCACACACACACTCACTCACTCACATCACTCACTCACATCACTCATCTCACTCACGTCACACACTCACTCACTTCACTCACTCACTCACATCACACACTCACTCACTCACTCACTCACTCACTCACTCACTCCTCCTCCTCATCCACGTCCTCGTCCTCTCTTCCTCCTCCACCACCCGACACTCCTCCTCCTCACTCCTCTCCCACCTCCTCCTCCTCCCTCCTCGTCCTCGACCCGTCCTACCTCCTCCTCCCTCCTCCTCCCCACCTCCTCCCCCTCCTCCTCCTCCTCATTCTCCTCTCTCCCTCCTCCTCCTCCTCCTCCTCCTCCTCCTCCCCTCCTCCTCCTCCTCCTCCTCCTCCTCCCCCCTCCTCCTCCTCCTCCCCCTCCTCCTCCTCCACATACCTCCACCTCCTCCTCCCCTCCTCCACCCCCTCCTCCTCCGATCCAAGAGATCCGCATTTTTCAGGCTTGTTTTATATCCTCGTACTTCACCCTCCTCCTCACCTCCTCCTCCCTCCTCCTCCTCCTCCGCTCCTCCTCCCCTCCTCCTCCTCCTCCTCCCCTCCTCCCTACCTCCTCCACCTCCTCCTCCTCCTCCTCCTCCACCTCTTCCATCCTTCCTCTCCTCTCTTCCTCCTCCTCCTCCTCCTCATCCTCCTCCCCCCACTCACCTCCTCCCCCTCCTCCACTCTCCTCCTCCTCCTGCTCCTCCTCCTCCTCCACCCTCCTCACTCCTCCTCCCTTCCTACCTCCTCCTCCTCCTCCTCTCCTCCTCCTCCCCTTCCTCCTCCACCTCCTCCTCCTCTCCTCCTCCTCCTCCTCCGCCTCGCTCCACCTCCTCCTCTCTCCTCCTCCTCCCTCCTCCCTCCTCCTCCTCTCCTCCTCTCCACCTCCTCCTCGTCCCCCCTCCCCCTCCCCGCCCCCCTTCCCCCCCTCCCCCCTCCTCTCACAGAACCTCACAGGACATCTCACAGAACCTCCCGCAACCTCCTCCTCCTCCTCCTCCTCTGCGTTCTGCGCTGCCAAACGATGCACCCCGTGACGCACGATGCCCGCATACAAACTCAAAACTCACCTTCTCAGCGGCGCTGGAACTTCCGCCTCCCCCTTCGGAAAAGACGGGTTCTTGCCATGCTTCAGAAGGCGCAGGGCCCGTGCCCTCCACGCACCCTCGACTCGGTCCGTGCACCCAACACCCAGGTCTTTGACCTGATGCTGGGCGTACACACCGCACGCCGAGCACCATATTACGGGCCCGTTGGCCCAGAGACGGTGGGTGGGGTGGGCTTTGGCGAGGGTCGCAGGGACCCCG